AGTAGATGTCAGAGAAGTGGAATTTGAACCCAGGTCACAGGATTATAGCAGTGCTAGAAGAGGCCTGAGAGGTTGTTTAGTCCAATATCCTCATTTTACAGGTGAAAAATTGGGGTTTAAGGAGGTTAAGTGACTTGTCCATTGTTGGAATTGGGATTTAAATGGGAACTGGGAGGTTAAATGACCTGCCCTCAACTCACACAGCTACAGAGTGTCAGAGAAAGGATTCAATATCAGGTTTTCCTGATACCACTATCACAAAGAAATTACAGAATTTGAGAATTGGAAGAGAACTCAGCAGCCAAGCCATACACAAACAGAGTCTTATAGCCTCTGCTTAAAGACCTCCTAGGTGGGGTGACTTGCTGCTTCTCAGGGCAGGCTATTTTGTTTTTCAATACTTTGAATTGTTAAGAATTATTTCCTTATCAAGCTTAACTTTGCCACCTTGCAATTTCCACATATTGATCCTGGTGTGGCCCTCTGGGGTCAAACAAATTAAGTTACTCCCCTCTCCACATAACAGCCATTCAGAATATTTGGAGACAGCTATCATGTCCCTTGAATCTTTTTTTCTCCAGGTTAATTTAAACATGCCTAACTCCTTAACTGATTTAGATATGTTTTTTCCCCCATTAGAATGTAAGCTTCTTGAGCACTGGGCCTGTTTTTGCTTGTATCCCCAGCACTTAGCAGAATGCCTGGCACATATTAATTAATAAATGCATGTTGATTGATCTGATTAACAAAATTTAGTGCTGGAATTGACTCTAAAAGTCATCATTAAATTTTCCTGTCGTGTCAAGACGCTTCATCATTGTAGTTGTCTTCCTCTTGGCACTCTGGGTTAAACTGTGGTATCCAGAATTCAACACAGATATTCCAGATGAGGTCTCTGGAGAGCAGAATATGGTGAAGCTATCACCTTCCTATTCCTAAAGCTCTTAAGGCAGCCCAAGATTGTATTAGCTTTTTTGACTGCCTCATCATACTGCTGGCTCATTAATCTTAACAGATCTAAAAACCCCAGATCTTTTTTCATAACTGCTGTCTACTCATGCCTCCTCTACATTATACTTGTTTGTACCTAAATGCAAGACTTTACTTTCATCCCTACTGAATTTTATCTTATTAGATTCAACTGAATCCTCTAGACTTTCAAGATCCTTTTGGTTCCTGTCATCTATTGTATTACCTATCCCTCCAAAGTTTGTATCATGGGTGAATTTGAAGAGTATATTGTCTATGTCTTTATCCAAGTGACAACACACTGCCACTCAGGTCTTCTAACTCCAGTGTCAGTGATCTTTTCCCTGTACCACATTGCTTCTCAAGAACAGCAAGGATAGGATTAGCAGTCCGTCACCACTTGGCCTTGCACAGAAGTAAATAACAGCAGCCATAGAAATAGGCAAGATTGTCCAGGGGAAAATGGAGAGAAATAAGGAGAGGGCCAAGGAACAGTTTAAGTTTAGGGGACACATAGACTTGGGAGATGGGCGCTTTCCCCTCGTTATCCTCCTCAACTTCTCTGCAGTTTCCAGCTCTGTCAGTCATGCCCTACTCCTAGATGTTCTCTCTTCTCCTGGCTTCTTGGAAACTATTGACATCAGGTTAAAAGGGAATTGCCCCCAAAAAATTAAAGGATTTGGAATCATAGATCTTGGATTTAGATCCTTGCTTTCTTACTTTTTGTGTGACTTTAGGTAAATTACAGTCTCTGGGCCTGTTTCCTCATTTGTAAAATGAGAGTGTTAGAAGTGGTGTTAGATCCCTTCAGTTCTAAAATCTATGACCTGATAATACTTTTTCTGTCTTACTTCTCATTCTAAGACTTCTTTTTTTGTACCATGAATGTTCCCCAAATTTCAGTCTTGAGTTTTGTCTACTTTTGACGATTTCATTTGTTTTCATGCGTACAAATGTCAGCATCTATCTAGATGTCTCCCAGATCTATATATCTGGCTCTAGTTTCTCCTCAACATCAAGAGACTGATGAACATCCCCACTTAACTGTTTCACTGGCATTTCAAAAAGAGGGCCAAAGCACAACTATCCAACTTAGGACCTAAATCTCTTCTAAACTTTACCTATTTGAGAGCATCTCCATTTTGTAAGTCACTCAGATTCATAAACTTAGCATCATTCCGTATCCAAGCAGTTAACAAGTCTTGAGGGTATCTGTACATTTTTTTCATAATTAATCCCCACTCATTCAGGTACTACTCATCTCTTGCCTAGATTATTACATTATTCAGTACCTAACACATTTAATAAATGTTTATTGAGTTTACTTGAATGTCATTCCCTTATTCAAAAGCCTTCAGTGGCTTCCTATAGTCTTGGTGATAAAATATTATACACTCAGCCTGGCATTTAAAATCTGGCTTCAAAATCTGGCTCCAACCAACTTTTTCTAGCCTTATTTCAAATTACATCCCTTCATAGCCACTATATGGTGGCAAATGGAATTCCTAGCTATTCTCTTAATTCAACAAGTCTTTTCTTTCTGTATTCACACCTGCCAGACTTCATCTGTAGAATTTCTTCCTCATTCTGCTTGTATTGGAGCCCTCATCTCAGGTACACTCTGTGAACCTTCCCTTCCTTGATCCACTCTCAACCTCCCTCTGCTTGTTAAGGCTCTTCCCCTTTCAAATTAGGTTGTATTTATCTCTATATATGTTATATACTCCCATTTCATTTTAGAATGTAAGCTCCTTGAGAACAGAAAAGATTTCTTGGTTTTTTTCCAGTGCTTAACACAGTGCCTTGGACTTATTTATAAAATTGAACTAAGTGGAATAGTGATAGAGTTGATCAAGAAAGTATGAGGTAGAGGGAAGTGGTAAACAGAAAGTGAGGTTTGCACTCTAAATCCCATGAACCCTATAAATGGGAGGAGAATTAGGAAGAGGAAGTAGCAGTCAGTCAATAAGCATTTACTTAGCACCTTTGATCAAAGAAGAGCAAAAGTCGACCCTGCTCATGTGGAGCTCACAATCCAGTGAGGAAATCATCAGGCAAACAAATATGTACAAACAAGCTATATACAGGATAAATAGGAGATAATTAATGGAGAGAAGGCTTGATTTTTGTCCTTTGTCCTTGAAAAGGACCAAAATGGCATCACTGTGTTGGAGAGAAGGCACTAGAATTAAGAGAGATTGGGAAGGGCTTCCTTGTAGAAGGTAGGATTTTAGTTGGAACTTGAAGGAAGCAGGGAGAGCATTGCAGCCATGAAGGACAGCTAGAGAAAATGCCCAGGAGTCATGAGATGGAGTGCTTGTTTGTGGAACAGAAAGGAGTCCAGTGTCACTGAATTGAAGAGTATGTTGGAGGCACAAGGTGTAAGAAGACTGGAAAGGTTGGGGTGGGGGGGGGGGGGGGGGTTGTAATAGGCCTCGAATGCCAAACAGAGTATTTTGTATTTGATCCTGGAGGCAATAGGAAGTCATTGGAGTTTACTGATTAGGGGGTGATATGATCAGATCTATGTTTTAGGAAAATCACTGTGATGGTCAAATGGAAGATGACCTGGAGTGGGGAGAGACTTGAGTCAGGCAGACTTATCAGCAGGCCACAGCAATAGTCCAGGATGAGAGCTTGACCAGGGTGGTGGCAGTGTCAGAAGAGAGAAGAGGGGGACACAAGTAAGACTTTTGCCTACAAATACTGTTAGCTTGGATCATGGGAATTAAGGGAGCAGGAAATTTGGGTGTGAGCTTGTAGGGATACCTTTATTATGTGGGAATCTTTACTGCCAGGCGGCATAGTGTTGTAGATAAACGTGCTGGGCTGGGAAGTCTGGACGGCCTAGGTTTCAATAAAAAGTGGGACATATTTATTGTTGGTGGAATTGTGAACTGATCCAACCATTTTGGAGAGCAATCTGGAATTATGGCCAAAGAGTTATTAAACTACCTATGCCCTTTGACTCAGCAATACCTATACTTGTTCTGTTTTGGAAAATAACTAGAGAAAAAGGAAAAGAACCTGCAAGTTCTCAAATTTTTATAGCATTTCTCTTTGTGGTGGCAAAGAATTAAAAATTGCAGGGATGCCAGTCAGTTGGGGAATGGCTGAAAAAGGTATGGTTTGTGATTGTGATGGAACACTACTGTGCTATAAGAAATGGTGAGCTCAGTGATTTTAGAAAAATATGGAAAGACTTGCACAAAATAACGAAGAGCAAAATGAGCAGAATCAAGAGAACATTGTATACAATAACAGCAATATTATTGTAAGAACGGCTTTGAGCAAATAAGTTATTTTGACTATTATAAATACCCAAATTAACTATTAAGGACATATGAAGAAAGATACTATCTGCACCCAGAGAAAGAATTGATAAATAGAAGTATATATAGAAGAATTTTGTGCGCACACACACACACACACACAAACACACACAAACACAAACACACACACACATCTGTTTGTGTTTAGTGGTAGCCATCTTTATCCCCTACCCCCACCCCCACACGCTTAAAACAAGAAATCACAGTCTGTTTCTTTTTCTCTTCCTTGTTTTGAAGGCTTTGGGAGCTCTCCTTCATCTTTCCAGGGAGAGGAAGAGAAGACCTCCTCCATCTCTTGGCTCTGGGCACTTTCTCTGTGCCTGGAATGCTCTCCCTCTGTTCGAACTGCTGATTCCCTGGCTTCCTTTAAGTCCCAACTAAAATCCTGTCTTGTACGGGAAGTCTTTCCCAGTCTCTCCTAATTTTAGTCCCTTCCCTCTCTTATGTACTTCCTGTTTGTCTTGTCTGTAGCTTGTTTGTACATATTTGTTTGCTTATTTTCTCCCCCATTAGATTGTGATCAACTTGAAGGCAAAGATCTTTTCTTTTTTTGTATTCCTGAAGCTTAGCATGGTGTCCCACATATAGTAGGCACTTAATAAATGTTAATTTGACTGATTGACTGCCTAGAAGAGCCTGAGACTGGATATCAAATCCATGGCTATCTCTTCTACTTCATGTTTCTTTTTCTGATCCCAGGTAACTGATCAGCAATCTTCCAGTCTTGGTGGCTACTTCATGAACTGAACTGATCTGGAGGTTTGGGTACTGCCCAATGGTAGGTGATTACTGCAGCTCTGAAGGGTGTACCCTTCCTGGAGGGGAAGATGATGACATGCCTGGCTAGCCAGACAATATGGTCCTTAAGTGAGTTTCTGGCTGGCCAGTTCAGATTTAGGTGAAAGTGACATCTGTTCGACATTTTCCGAAATCCCCTTCACCTTCCAGGAGAATATCATAGAGCTTTCTATGAGTCCTTTGAGTGTTTTCTATATCTATTTGTAGGCTACTGGGAGTCCCTTTTTATAGATTACTGTTTTTATTTAAGTGTTCGTCAGTGTGCACAGGAGTGTTTTGTGTTTTAAGCCTTTTTTGTGTGTGTTGGAATAGTTATTCTGTATCTCCTATCTATTTGTATACTGAGTAATTTTTCAAGATTGGACCTTGTTGATCCTTTTGGGTAGATGATAGACTAGTGAGCCCTATTCAAGATTTGTTTAAGGCATTCTTCTTGGGACTCCAGGGTGGAGACATTATAAGCCAGAAAATGTGAGAAAAATCTAATCCTCTCCTTTTGGGGTCAGACTTTCGTATAGCTGAACCTGGTTCATGTGATTCCTGAGATGACACCCTTAGTGGGAAAAGGATTCTACTCTGGGGTGTGGGTGATACATGTACAAATAAGTAACTTCAGAGTAATTTGCCAGGAAAAAGAACACTAACTCCTGAGTGATGGGACTGAGGAAGGATTGAGAAAGGCTTCCCTGGAGGAGGTACCACCTGAATTGAACCTTGAAGAGATTAGGGTTGCACCCTTTCACGGGTCTTCCAACAATGTATCAATATACCTATTTTCCCACAGCCCTTCCAACATTTATTATTTTCCTTTTTTGGGTCATCTTCGCCACTCTGGTGGGATGTGAGGTAGAACCTCAGAACTGCTTTCATTGATACTTCTCTAATTAGTAGTGAGTTGGAACTTCTTTTAAAAATATGGCTATAGATGGACTGAGTTTCTACACATTAAAAACTTCCTGGCAGCTAGGTGGCTCAGAGGATAGGGCACTGGCCCTAGAGTCAGGAGGACCTGAATGGGAGGAAGAACCTTCCAGGCAGTAAGGAATGTGGTAACATACAATGCTGCAAGAAAGAATAATGTGAAAGTGGCTAGGAAAGCTTGGTTGGAACCAGACTGTAAAAGGCTTTCAATGTCAAACAGAAGAGTGTGTTTTTCCTGCAGAGCCAATAGGAAGCCACTGAAGCTTCTTGAGTAGGGGAATGACATGTTTCTTTTAACATTTTATTTCATTTAATTTTTTTATTTTATTATATTTTTTTTGGAGGGATGAAAGGGAACCTGTGATTTCATTGGTATATAGGGAATTTCCAGTGTAGAAATTCTCTCTAGTGCACAGAGAGGATGCTTGTCCATTGTTACAGAACTCACGTTTCATAGAATTTGAACCTCGATCTTCCTGACTGCAAATACCGGTGCTCCACAGGATCTTATTGATAAGGGTATTAGCTCCAGAAATACAGATGACAACCTATCCATACCTTCTTATCCTGTGTGATTCCTAACCATGTCTTCTCATAAATTCACCAGAGTCCACCCAGTTTGCTAGAAGCCTTTCTCATATTCTCCTGACATATATAGGAACAGGAGTACTTAGCAGAGATATGGAAAGGCACATAGTAGAGTGAACCTGAAGCTAAAGAAAGATATAATCAATGGACAATCTGTTTCCAGTGCTCTATTGATATTAAAGAAATAGGAAGAAAAAGACCCCAAGTATTTGCAGTACTTTCAGTGGATCCCCTGTGGCATATTTGTGGAAGAACATGGAAAAGGATCCCACGCGATAAGCAGCAGAGATCAGTAAATCAGCAAACATTTATCAAAAGCTTACTGTGTGAGAAGCACCATGCAAAAACATGAACCCTGTCCCCAAGGATTCTAGTGGGAAAGAACATGCAAACAACTATGCATATTTGATATATACAGTGTAAATTGGGAGGTAATCTCAGAGGGTGAGCACTAGCAGTGGAGGAAACTGGGAAGGCCCCTTTTCAGAAGGTAGGATTTGAGTCAAGTATGGAAGGGAGCCAAGGAAAGGAGGGAGGGAGGGAGGAAACATTCCAGGCATGAGTCCAGAGATGGAGTGTCCTCTTCAAGGAACAAAAAGAAGGCAAAGATATGTGAGGAAGTGATTCAAATGTATAAGAAAAAGCACTATTTCCCACTTAATAAATAGCCTAAGGATATGATGAGGAAGTTTTTTTTTGGTTTGTTTTTTTTAAGGTAATTGGGGTTAAGTGACTTGCCCAGGGTCATATAGCTAGTAAGTGTGTCAAGTGTTTGGTCTGAGGCCGGATTTGAACTCAGGTCCTCCTGACTTCAGCGCTGGTGCTCTATCTGCTCGACACCTAGCTACCCCCTTTTTATTTGTTTGTTTTTTTTAGTGAGGCAATTGGGGTTAAGTGACTTGCCCAGAGTCACACAGCTAGAAAGTATTATGTGTCTGAGGCCAGATTTGAATTCAGGTCCTCCTGACTCTAGGGCCAGTGCCCTATCCTCTGAGCCACCTAGCTGCCAGGAAGTTTTTAATGTGTAGAAACCCAGCCCATCTATAGCCATATTTTTAAAAGAAGTTCCAACTCACTACTAATTAGAGAAGTATCAATGAAAGCAGTTCTGAGATTCTACCTCACATCCCACCAGAGTGGCGAAGATGACCCAAAAAAGGAAAATAATAAATGTTGGAAGGGCTGTGGGAAAATAGGTATATTGATACATTGTTGGAAGACCCGTGAAAGGGTGCAACCATTCTGGGAAGCAATTTGGAATTATACACAAAATGTTATTAAACAGTGCAGGCACTACCTGGTAGGGTAGCTCTACCACTGGTAGTCCTATATTCAAAAGAGATCATGTAGAAAAATGTCCTATTGTATAATTGTATAAAAATAATTTTTGCAGCTCTTTATGTGATAGCAAAAACTGGAAACTAAAGGGATATCCATCATTTGAGGAATGGCTGAATAAGTGGTATTTGATTGTGTTGGAATACTCTTGCATTGTAACAATTGCGGAAATAGATGATTTCAGAGACATGGAAAGATGTATGAAGTGATGAATTAAGTGAAGTGAGCAGAACCAGGAGAACAACTTCTACTAGTACTGCTAATAATAATAGCTACATTTTACATAGCGCCTATTACCTCCTAGGCACTGTGTTTAAGTACTTTGCAAATATTGTCTCATTTGATACTATAACATCAACCTTATAAAAATAATTCTGAAGACTCTTAAGAACTGAAGAATGACAAGAGGAACTAGGAGAACAGTTTATATGATAACAGTGCTGTAAAGACGACTTTGAAAGCTGTTAAGATCTCTGATCTATATAGAGGGACCATTCTTGATTCCAGAGGATCAGTGACGAAAGATACTATCCACCTCCTGACAAAGAGACGAAATGTCTAGGGTGCAGAATCACACACACACACACACTCACACAGAGTCAGTGGGGGAACTTGTTTTGCTCAACTATGCATATTTGTTAGAAGAAATTTGTTTTTTCTTCCCTCTTTTTTTAATGGTACATGTAGGTAGGAGTAAAAATGGATTTCTGTTAAATAAAAATAGAGAGATAGAGGTGCTATAGATGTGGAATATATTATGTACATTCAGATGAAGCCACTATATTGTTAATTTTACTTAATTGCTTTGCTTTGTTACAAAAAGACCTTACAGAGTAGGGGTAATCTATAAATGTTTCTAATGTAAAAACAAAACACATTAATAAAACTTTTTTTAAAAATGGAAAAAAAATGTAAGATACATGATATCCAAAAATAATTAACCTGCAAAACATGTCAAGAAGAGATAGCATGCTTTTTCAGATTTGCAGGGATCATAAAATGAAGAAGAATTGGGAATATGTTTAATGACAGTGTCATGGACCAAAAACATCTCAATGGGCTAGAACACTGGGCCAAATATAATAAAGTAAAATTTTATTCCATCTTCTGTTGAAGTCTTTTTAAGTTGGAATGAAAATGAAAGTATCAGTAAAATAAAGTCAGACTCTTAAGTAACTAAAAAAACCATGTTATCTTTAGAACAGATAATTACAGCAGTGCCCCTTAGGAGAGAGAGGTGGAAGAATATGAGAATATAATATGAGGTACAGTTTTCAGTACTTTTGCTTAGTAAATAAAGCCTTAAACTTAGGTATCAGAAAATTAACTTTCTAACTATAGGATGGGAAAAGTGGCTAGACAGCTGATGAGGAAAAGAAGTGGGCATTTTAATGGACCCCAAATTAAGTGAGTCGACATTGTGATATACCATCAGCTGACCAATGACTATTGATGAGCAGATAAGCCCAAGAGCTCTGGGAACCACAATTCCCTCCAAACCACTGGCCTTGCCTCTGGTTTCAACCTTTTAGCCACCATTGAGGAGAGCATCCTTTGTGGGAAGGAGCCCAATATCCTCACTAATACCAACTACTCACAAACTGCTACTAATAGGCAGGTAAACCCAAGGGCTTTGGCAACAGCAGCACCACCCAGACCACCAGCACTGCTTAAGGCTTAGCCTCTGTAGCTATTGTCCAAGGAAGCCATAGTCCTTTAGAGATGTGACTTCACAACTCCTCTGCAGGTACTATGGTTCCTGTCTACTAAGCACCCACAGGTACTAAAGACCCAGAAAATAAAAGTTCTTGACACCAATGTTGCTGTCACTGTCAAATGGTTCAGCATCAGAAGTGGTAATGGCATTAAAGAAGATCCATTACCATCTGCTTTACTGCAGCCCCAGAACCGTGGGGTACATTCCATCTGATTTTAAACTGAAATCTCCTACATGTGTTGTCTTGCTATATTAGAATGTGAGCTCCTTGAATACAGGGATTGTTATGTTTTTCTTTTTGTGTCCAGCACTTAACACAATTCTTTGCACAGAGTAAGCATTTAATAAACACTTTATTTTTTTGGTACAGTGCCTTGCACATAGCCACCAAGTGTTTGTTGAATTGAATTGGCTCCCTGTTGGTATTCCTTCTAGTGTCAGAGATTCAAACTTGGCAATTCTGAGAGTGACCTAAGTGAGAGAGAAATTAGAGATGTGAGCAGATGCTTCTGTGATACCATAGTGGCTCTATCATAGTCTAGGCCAGGGGCGTCAAACTCAAATAGAAAATCACAATTTAGCAAATAAACACAATTTTACAATAAAACAAAATTAACAAGCACCACGACATTAACGTCTGTGTTGTATTTTTTTACTTATTTTGCTAAACATTTCCCAATTACATTTTAATCTGATTAGGCAATCCTCTGGCCTTGAGTTTGACCTCTCTGGCCTAGGCTATAAGCATTTTTCCTCTGCTTGACTTTCATGAATACATAGTAAGGCCAAACTCACTTGAGTAATTATGAGTATCATTTAGGAGTCCCTCCCTGTGTTCTGAGACTAGATGGAAAAAGCATGATGTCATCTACAAGCAGGGCAACAGCAGTCTATGGGGACCTTCTCTTCATTTGGCTGTATGGGCCACCCTCTATGGCAAATACTTCTGGCAGTGTACATCTCCCAATTTTAGGTCTCAAGATTACATCTTTGGAAGAATTTTGTATGATTTTGACAAATGCACCAAAGACATATTGAGAGCCTTTAAAAGGTGCACTACCAAATCAGATACTTCAAAAAAAAATAACCACCAATAAGCACAATGGAATCTTGTATTCTTGATGGCTTTTTGTCACTGTGTAGCTGTAAATATATGGACTCCTGTATAATATTGTTTGTAAAAATCTTCCTGTTCCTTCATTGAGACCTTTAAATCCTTTATCAAGGGTGTCTTCAATTTGTGTATAGATTACTCATAAAGATTTTGTAGAGATGGGAAAGTAGACATGAGTTGCTAGTTATTGATAGTTTTTCATTTGCTTTTTGTGTAATAAACTCTATGATTTTTTTCCCCAACCATTGGATTTTTTCCATTACTTCAAATATATTAAGACTCTCTCCCTCGATGCCCTCAAATTTATTTCCCTTCCAGCATGGACCTCATCTATGTATATTTGGTCTAGTATAAGACTTTGTTCTTCTGAGCTTTGTTTCTTAAGGGACATTTCTACTACTTTATAGAACACAAACTCCCAGTCTTCAGATTTGAGATCTATAATGTGGAAAAGGAACTAGACTCTTTCTGCTTGTCCCCAATGGGCAGAACTAGGAGTAATGGAATTAGGCTTAAGGTAAAGAAGGTGTTATCCCAAAGTGAAGTGGGTGGGCTACCTTGATTGGTAATTCATTCATTCTCCCTCACAATGGGCCATTATACAAATGGGTGATCATTTGTTGTACATATGTGGTAGAGAGGGTATAGTTCTTGAGGTGCACATTGGGCTAGATGAACTCTGATAACCCTTCTAATTTTGAGATTCTCTGCCTTGAAGTGAGTACAGTACAGTAGATTGGTGGTGTCATTAAGCATAAATGTTTGTCGACTGATTTATAGACATGTGAAATCAAGTATATATGACAACTGCTATCTTGGTTATTCTAACCTGGAAAATTATTCATAACTTGAAACCATATATACAAGGATTTGAGAACATATTTTTGTAGTTTGTGATATGCTATCATATATATGTTATGCTGTCATTTATAATCTTAAATTAATCTCTTTCAGCTTGTGAAGCTGCACAAGATATCATAAGGCTGAGCGAAGTGGTACACTGTCATCAGTATTTTTACAAGTAAAATGAAGATTAGTTTTTAAAGTAAGTTTATTTTCCTTTTTAAAAACATAAAACTTCTGCAAAATAGAAATATGTGATGTAGCATGTACTTGGCAAAGAACCTAGAATCTAGTTCAGCACATTGGTAGTAATGGAAATATTGCCACCAACTCTGCATCTTTCTCTAAATTGTGCTCCAGTCAGAAGGAGGTAAATGCTAATTAGGCAACATGCATTTATTGAGCATTTCCTGTCTGACAGGCCTTCATGCACTGGGGGAACAAAGGCACAAGTGAGACAGCCTTTTCTTTCAAGAACTTTAATTTGAATGAGGGAGACAACATGTACACATATCAGTGTAGAGGAAGTACTGACACAATGAGTACAAGGTAGTTGAGGGTGGGGAGGGAATGAAGACCAGGAAAAAAGAAAGTGGTGCGTTGGCCGAGTCTTGAAGGGAAACCAGGAATTCCGAGAGGTAGAAGGGAAGTGGGAATGTATTCTAGACATGGGGTACAGTCAGAGCAAAAGCATGGAGATGGGAAAGGTCATGTGTGTAGTTTAGTGAGTAGACATGTGTGACTGGATTGAAGAGTTTGGAGAAGAGAATCAAGTATGAAAAGATAGGGGGCCAGGCTGTGAAGGGATTTAAAGTGGTAAACAGGAGTTTCTGTTTGGTCCACGAGACAATATGGAGTTTGTTGTACAGGGAATCTTAAGAAAATCCTTTTGGTGGCTGCATGGAGGATGAATTGGAGTGGGGAGAGGCTTGAGGCAGGAAGACTACTTCAGGCAAGAGATAATGAGGGCCTAAACTGGGTTGGTGGCTATGTGAGTGGGGGTAAGTGTATGAATTAAAGAGATGTCCTAGAGATGGAAAGAACAAGATTCACCACCTGATTGGATATATAGAGTCAGTGGGAATGAAGAGGGAGGATGAAAGCGAGGTTGGAAACTTGGTTGGAAGGGTGGTTGCGTTTTGGGCAATTATAGGGAAGTTTGGAAGCTGGGTGGGTTTAAGAAGAGAAGAGAGTTCTGTTTTGAACATGTTGATCTTGAGGTGACGGTGGAACATCCAGTTTGAGTTTTGTAATAGTGGTTAGTTGTGTAGGCCTTGAGCTCAGAAGAGAAGGAAGGACTAGATACATAGATCTAGGAATCATCGGCAAAAAGATGGTAATTCAATCCAAGAGCACTTGAGATCCCTAGAGAGTGTAAAGAGAAAGAGAATGGGGCCTAGGACCGAACCTGGGAATACAACCACAGTTAATGTGCATAATGTGGATGATGAATCAGTAAAGGAAGCTGAGAAGGAATGGTTAGACAGATAGGAGAACCAGGAGAGAACAGAGGATAGAGCTGAACTGGTTCACTAAGTAGTCAAGATTGGGAAGGGAAGAAACTCACCATGGAAAGGGTGATCACCTGGAAAAATAAAGGCAAATGAGAGATAGCAGATTCACTGAGGACAAAGAATAAATTTGGGAATAGAGAGGCTCAAGAAGAAATGGAATGGTGGGAGATCGTAATGACACAAAGAACTTTCAGATTTCTTGATCAGTGAAGTGGAACACCTGTGGATCATGGCAAGGTCAAAGGTGTGACCATCTCTTTATGAAGCTGAGGCAGAGTAGAGGAGTCCATTGGAGTTGAGCAGATGGAGGAGTTGGAAAATTAGGATATTCGAGGGAATATTAATAGATAAGTCGAAGTTCCCCAGTATGAGAGCAGGAATTGGAATGGAAATGAATGCTGTGAGCCAAGTATTGAATTTATTGAGAAAATAGGGAAAATGTACCTGAGTCAGTAAATATCAGCTGTAGGATGCAGATTGGGTGATAAGCACAGATATTTGGAACCTTAAAATAGGAGGGATGGTGTCAGAGGGAGAGTCTGGAAGCATCATTGAGGAGCAAGGAGTATTCTGCCTTCCCTGCTTGGAACAGTAATTCAAAGGATATGAGCAAAAGTACCACCAGTACTAGAAAGGAAGGCTGGAGCCCTCATCGAGTGGGTACCTCATCTCACTGGGGCCTGAAAATCGTGAGAAGAGGAGCTTTAAAGTGAAGGGAAGTTTCTTAAATCTAGATGGGGAGTTCCAGAGAGCACTGTGGAACGAGTTGGCAGTATGGCAACATTGAGGCCATTGTGGTTAAGAGAGTGGACAGGAGGGCTGTAGAGTGCAAACTTTCTCTTCAAAAATCTGGGATTTGATATCACAAGAGTTCAGGGAAGAGAGAAGAGCAAGTGCTGGATAGTTTGCCACCTGGTGTTTTGAGGCCTGAGAGTGACATGTGTCCCTACTAGTGGGAAGGAGAAGTGGCAGCCTGGTAGTGTATGACTAACAATATTTAGTCACTCATCAAAACATTTCCTCACCTTCTGTCATTTGGAAACATCTTGAATGATAATACACTAGCCTCTGTGGACATATTTCAAAGAAGCAGGAATATAGTACCTGATCTCAGGATATTATGCTCCAATTTAGGTACTGATTAAATGGCTGCTATGTTCCAGTACTATAATATGCCCTGAGGAAGATATCATAAAGAGAAAAGACATTGCTATCATCAAGAGGATGTTTCCCAAATTTTTTATTCTTTGGAGATTGTGGTGTTCCATGATTCCCAGCCAGATAGTATCACTTCTTCAGATTTGATTAGAAACAAACCAATCAAAAAAACTCCTGTAACAAATAATCACAGTCAAGCAAATATGATTCCTGCATTGCTTGTGTCCTACCATGTATATGGTCTTAATTTTGAGTCCAGTATCTGTCAAAGGTGGGTAGCATGCTTCATCATTAGTTCCCTGGATGAATAGTCGATTGTTACATGTTGTCATTGTGTAAATAGTTCTCCTGACTGCTCACTTCACTGTGTATCAGTTCATACCAGCTTTCTCAGATTTCATCTATCCTTTTTGTCGTTTTTTGCAGTACAGTAATACTCCATTACATTCTTATACCATAATCTCTTCAGCCATTCCCCAGTTGATGGCTACCCACTTCATTTTTAATTTTTTGCTAGAATAGAAAGTAATGCTATAAATAATTTTATACATATGGATCCTTTCCCTCTTCCATCTCTTTGGGGTATATGCTTAATCATGCTTATTCTTGAATAAAGTATTCATGATATGTAGGCATGAAACTTCTTAGTAATCTACAAGTCTTTGGCCTCTTTCAGTCTCGATCCTATTTTCCCTTTTTTTTTTTTTTTTTTGCCATCCTTAGTTCCTGCCTTTCCTTTGAAGTGTCACTGAATATTAAGGTACGTGTAATATAGAGTTGGTTTAGAGTTATTTATTGAGTTATTTATAGAATTTTTATTGAGTTATTTATAACTCTTATTGAGTTATTTATAGAATTTTTCTATTTCTTCATTCTCTAAAGCCAGTGTTACTGCAGACGCTACAATTATCTCCAAGGATTTTGTTTGGTTATGCACATGCAAAGTGGTGAGAATGACCAAGTGGCGCCTGAGAAGATGTTTGTTAAAACTTACTCAAGCAACTTGTTTATTTGCTTTGCTAAAGAGAACCTTGGAGCCTTCCTTCTATTTAGCTGCAACTTGTTTATTTCTTCTTGTTTCATTTCTAGCAAGATTATCATGAAATAAGACTCTCCTTCATATACTCTGCTATCGTTTACACAGTCTCCATGCTTTACATAGACCCCATGGATTGCTCAATCCCAGCTCACTTTTGCTCCTTAGAATCCCCAGTTTCCTTCAGGGCTCATCTTAAACATCACGTGGTAAATGAACCTTTCTTTTCACACTCACTCACACACACACACACACACACACACACACACACACACACACACACACACACACCCTCACACCTTCCATTAGTACCTTAACTCTAAAATTACTTTCTATTTATTTTGTAGATAGTTTGAATATCTGTATGTGTATATATTGTCTCCTTTCATAGAATTTAAGGTCCTTGAGGACAGTGTTTAATTTTTGTCTCCAGCATGATGTCTAGTGCTAGCAAGTGCTTAGTAAGTGACTGTTGATTGATTGGCCAAAGATCTCACATTTCTTGTCAGAAGTTGAATTAAGTTCATCAGTAATACAGCTCTATGGTCCATTTTTTTGTTTGTTTGTTTTGTGGGTTCTGTGACCAAAAAACAGTCAACCTAGTGTCCAACTTGCTGATGAGTATCTTTGCACTTATCTGTGTTGGTCCTAAAATAGAGGCACAGTTTTTATTCAGGTCTATTTAAAGTCTTTGCTGGTAGAGAATCCAGGAGAACTTCTACACTGTGAAGAGACATTGGAATCAGATTTTTGTTTTGAAAAAGACTAAACTAATAGAATTTTAGAGTTAGCTGCTGTCTAGACCATAGTCTTAACCAGGGATCCATGAATTTGGTTTTTAAAAGCATTTGAATAGTTATTTCAGTATAACTGGTTTCCCTTATATTCCTTCTTATTTTGTTTTATGCATTTAAAAACAGTATTCTGTGAAAGGGGTATTGGCTTCACCAGACTGCTTAAGGGGTCTGTAACATAAAAGAGGTTAAGGACCTGTAATCTAGACCAACTCCATAGCTGATAAATGAATTTTCTCTAAAACATCCCTGACAAGTTATCATCTCTCCTGTATTTGAACAGTGTTGAGGTATTCCCTGAGGAAGCTCTGTTTATATATGCACAACAGCATTATAAGAAAAAACAATTTTGACTGACTTGAGAATTTTAATCAATGCATTGACCAGCCATGTCTCCAGAGGACATGTGATGAAGCATGTTGCCCACCTCCTGACACAGAGGTGATGGATCCAAGATGCAGAAAAAAAAACCCTATGTTTTTCATCTTTGTTTTGTCTTCATTGGGGGAGGAGGAAGGAGGCTTTGCCAAACAGAACAGGGCCTTTGGGACATTTTAAGACAGTGCATGGAGGGAACAGAGGAAAGTTCAGACTGAAGTACAGATGGGCACCACATGCTTACCTATCGAAACAGAGGCAACTGGGTTAGAGTCCAATGGTGTAGACTAGGCAGCACAATGTGACAGTGGCCAGGAAGCAA